CCTGAGCTTGGTTGTTTAGGGCATTTTTAATTTCTCTTTGCTAGTTGTAACTCAAAGCACCTGCTAACTATGTTAAATTACAAACAGCCCACAACCAGATGTAGTTCTGCAAAATAATGACATGCTTGTATGAAATTTAAGAACAAAATATACATATATATCAACATTTAAAAAGTTAAAAATCATAATAAACTACATTGTAAATTGTTTGCTGCGAAATAAAAGCTTCCAGAGTGGAATTAAAACAAATATCAACAAGAAAAAAAGTATACTACCTATTTGTATCTGTGTTTGTATCTGCTCAGAATGCATTAGAATGCATCACTAATGTAGCCTATTCAACTCAGTATAGCCTACATAACACAAAATCCCTTATAGTGTAGTTATAGCATAGTTATATAACTTAAAGAGAGTAGTTGCTACCATTCTACAGTTCTTTAAAATTTTTAAAAGTGCCTGCTTTTCCTTAGTACAAAGTGCTAAGAACAGTTGCTTCCAATTTGCAGGCACAGGAACATGTAATGTTGTTTAATTTTGTACAGCATATGAAGCATATATAATAATAGGTCTGATACGTTATTAAAATTATGTGGCATACTACGCTGCTGCTGGTTTGCTAGGCTATCACTGCACATTAACTTTACAGGAACATCGTTCCTCCGTCCTCGCACGAGTACTCCATGTTTAATGCAGTGTTGGCTCATAAATATTCACTAAAAAGCATCAAATTAGTGCAACAGACCAAACTACAAACTTCGATAACTGTTAAACTAATTTTAAGTCAAACGCTCCTATGCTGAGAAAACGGTGCTTTGAAATGGATTTAAATGTGTCATCAAAATTTGTAAAAAAGGAAAAAAAAAACGTTTAACTGATGTGCAACTGAGATACACGTTTCAATCAGATAAATTCACAGCACTGTTCTTTTCAGTGTATAAGATGAGTTTACAGTGATGGGCGCCACCTTTTTTAAACCCTGTAGCACTACTGATACCACCAGACAGCAGCACAATATGTCCTTATTTCAGAACATCAGTTCATATGTCCTCCTATGAGGATGTAGAATCTCAGGAACGTATAGTATTCCAGGACCATGGACAGCATCCACTTCAGTTCAGCAATGAAAAAGATCAACAGGTTCATAATGAGAGATAGTCTTGTTGGGAGTTAGTTCAAATAAAATAGTGTATGAATTCATCCGTGCTTTATTTTGTTGTTAGGTAAACACACACACACACACACACACACAACACTGTATTCTGCTTCATTGAGTGATGAGGTGAATACTTCATATGCAGTGTGTGGGTGGTTGTTTGTGAGCAAGTAAACAGAAGAAAGAAATGGAAAGAAGAGTGTAGACATGCACGACACTTGTCTGACAAACGTTCATACTGTACTGGCTATTCATGGGTGGAGTTTCATGGCCCGATCAAATCAGGTCATAACCGGATCGTCCATCACTGCCACGCCCGGCGACACTGCATCCTACTGGGACCCGTTGCCTGGTAACGGGGAAGGTGATTGGGCTTAGTTGGATAAGAACTCGCGTGTGTGTGTGTGTGTGTGTGTGTGCGTATATGTGTGAGTGTGTGTGTGTAGAAGAACAGGTAAACAGAAGCTCTAATAAAGGGCTACAACACTTACGTAATCTTTCATTTGCTAGAGTTACACATTACTGTTTATATGTTTTTAAACTTCCACTTAACTTAAACAGGAATTCCACCATTTTTCAAAATGTATGCATAATTCAGTGGTGAAGATGTAAACAAAGTCATTCAAAGTGGTTTGATGAGAAATTATTCATCGTAGAGGAACATGCAGGCTCAGATTTCTTTACCGTGGTGGTGATTGGAACCAGGGGTTACCATATATACAACACAAATATAGCCATTTTATTTGCTATCCAAAACCAGCCTACATGTGTCTTCTGAGTTTTATGTTGATAATGGAAAAGTAGTGAAAAAATACCTTGTCTTTGGGGACTAGTTTGCTTCATAAAACCCTGCATGTACCTCTCCCCATGAATTGAAATGATTTTGAAATGTTATTTAGGCCAAAACTTTCTCAAAACTATTGTAAAACAGGTGTCAGAGAGCTTTTAGAGGCATTAACACTTCAGATATCTGGTTCCTGTCACCAGAGGGAATAATTCTGATTCTTCTCTAGACTCTAACTCCTCTCTATTTTCTCAAGAATGGAGCATTTCAACATCAAACCACTCTGAATGACTTTTCTTCTTCTTAACCCTTTCACTATGCAGATGTTATGCAAAAAAATCCCCTTTAAATGCACTGAACTCTTCATTCTGAGGTTCTAAAGTTTCTGAAACACTCAACACCAGTGCAAAGTTGGTGTGAATACAAGCTTGAATAGAGGTGTGTATGTAGGGGGGTGTATATGTATGTATGTGTGTGTTTGTAAAGGTCAGTGTTTTCTCCCTGCTGTGCTGCAGTGATGTAGGGGTTATTAACTCTGATCCACCCTGACGGACACTAAAAGGTTCCCCTGAACTCCTAGAGTCTCCACACCGCATAACACACCTGAGGGAGTCATAGCTCAGTGGGTGACAACACCTCTCACACCTCTCTCACACACACGCATACACACACCTTCACTTTTCAAGCCTGGCTTGTGTGACGAGACTAAAGGACCGGGCCCAGTTTTCCAAAAGCATCTTAGCGTTAAGATTATCTTAACTGGCAGAGAGAGTATTCACCGTGATACTCGCTCTACCATTAAAGAATGTTCTTTGTGCTCAGATGCTTTTGGGAAACCCAACCCAGCCAGTCCTGCTGCTTTTCAAAAATATTTGTTGCAAGAAGTGTGATACATATAAATTTTAATTGAACCTACCCAGATTAGAGTCTACTTTCATATCAGTTTAAACTTGGCTTGCTAACCCCATAAATCCAGCTTTGTCATACACTTGCCATCCTAAGTGTGCCTGTGGATTCTTGATAGGTAAACACATCTTATTTGGCTTCATTCAGCTTTGATGACCGTTTTCTACCCTCAGTTTGGGGTTTACTTCTTAATCAGTCAAGAACACATTTTGCCATATTTATATTTCAACCACTTTTACGCTGCTGCCCTGATGCTTTTTGGTGTTTGTGAGTGTTGTATTGTTTATTGTTTATATCTAAGGGGAAGGTGTGAAAATATACATTTCACTTGCATGTTGCTCTTTCATTTAGATATACCATATGACAAGATGGTTGTATTTCATGGTGTAGTCAGCCAATCAACGCTTGGTCATTTCTTTGCATAATGTTCCACTATGGGACTAGAATGAGCGAAAAAAGTGGGTGTAGTGTTATTATCATTTTCTTTAAAATTTGTTACATCTCTATGGTAAGTTTCAAAGATTAGACAAACTTGTGTTGTTTACAAAAATTTATTCATACAAATCTTACAACACCTTATTTTTTTGACATTTATATTGGTGACCTCTGTTGTGGTTCCCATATGTGTTATTATAACCTACTACTCATCTACACAAGAAATAGATTTCTTTTTTTAAGATTCATCTAAAGTAAGGCTTCAGGCGCTATCAGACTTTACACACAGCATGAACTTCAGGGTCGGGAGTGTTCTATGATTTCTACAGCTAGCAATCACACACTACGTATAGCGTAGCTAAAACAAACAACAGGAAATGGTGCAGGAAGTCGAACAAAATAGGGTGGGGCCAAGTGGCAATTGAACGAAAGTCATGTGATCCAATGAAATGGGAGGAGTGTGAGCAGGTGATGTGCAGCATTGGAGGGCCACTAACATGCCATCTGAGATTGGTGGCCATTTTTAAAGTCGAAGCAAAGGCACCCGAGCTGCAAGCTGCCCTCCTGCGTCACAAAGCCTGCAGGAGAACGCATAATTAAACACAGATTGATTTCACACTCACACACTCTTCCTTACACTCTCTCCTACTCTCTCTCTCTCTCAAACACACACACACACATTCACAGTCTTACACACCCTAGTGAGATCTAAAGCGCTGCAGTTTTGGCTGGGTGTGCTTCAGCCAGTCAGTTATTTTTTATTCTAGATCTTTGCTAAAATGTTTTAACTCTCTATCTTGTAATAGTTCATCATATGTTTACACCATGTGAAAATGCATTATGTGCACATTTCATGACAAATAAACAAAGATAAATGGCCCAAAATTACATTATCCTCACTACATTAAATTTAAGCATATTTTTTCCTTCTCCTACACAGTTATTTCTGACTTCCTTTCCTTCCTTTCACTTCCTTTCATGACATTTCTGGAATATTTAATTCCTCTCTTCTGTACATAAACATATGCATAAGTAAAGGGGACTGAAGCATGCTAGCACTGTCTGCGTAAGCAATTATGACTGCAGTCAACCCCTGTAACGACCTCCTACAGCTATGCAAGCCTAATTAGGGCCATCAACATTGGTAACTAGGGAGACATGACAAGAGAGAGGTACCCACCCTCCCAGATCCCAAACCATACAGTTGTAGGCAAAAGTTTGAATGCCCCTGGTCAAATTACATTTTGTTGAGTCTAAGTGAAAATAAGTCACATATCCTGCAAAGTTTAATGTATAATTTCTATTAATTTAATAGGTTTAACATATAAAAAATTATAGTGCATTTAAATCCATTTCAAAGCACTGTTTTCTCAGTGTGGAAGACACATAATAAAATTAGACTTTGTACAAAACAGCATCATGTTTTGACTTTAAAATTAGTTTTCAGTTTTCAAACAGTTATCAAAGTTTGTAGTTTGGTCTGTTGCACTAATTATAATATAATAAAATTATAAGATGTGCCATAACCTTTGCCTAGGCCACATTTTATATATTTTTTCCCAATATTAAAATGTATGTTCACTGAGAAAATCAACACAATATAATCTGACCGGGGCACCTATACTTTTGCATACTACTGTATCTCTCCACAACATCAACATGACAGATACAAAGAGAGGCGAGCAGATACGTGACATTAACAAGAGCAGATTTCACGGCCAGTTTGGTCAGAAATGAAGAACTTTAATCTGGAAATCTAAAAATATACTCAGCGTGTCTTTGCAACAGGAGAGAGAAATCTGAGTTTTAACAGTAGAATTCCCTACAAGCAAAGATTCTTCAGAAACAAAAACATTTACACACAAACACACCATCACACATACTGCCCACCACCAGAAGAGCTGAACTGTACTGTTCTAGTCAATGGATAAAACACATTCACAGGCTAAGACTCCCACACTTTTGGATAGAGAGATGAGAAGAACAGCTTGGAAGGATGATATATAAGGTGCCTGGGCATGCTTTTACAGGGAGAGGAGAAAGACTGGGCGGAGGCTCAAACAGAGGCATGTCTTGCAGGTCTCTAAATACATTACAAGTGCGTTCTTCGAGGTGCATCGCCTCTTATTTTGATTGTCCATGACAAAGAACCCATTCATGTTTGGAGATAAATCTGCCCGAAATGAGAAGGTTCCATGATGTGAAAGTCAATGCAATTGTCAAAGAGGGTTGTGAGCAGGTGAGGAAGGAGAAGAGTTTGGCTCGTGAAATTTAAGCGATAGATGACAGGGGAGGGGAAACTTCACGGGAGAGAGAGGGGAGGAAGTGAGAGACACCCCCTCCGAAAAAGAAAAGGGCTAAATGGTACCGGAGCCACAGAACTCACCGGGAGATCGGGAGGGAACTGCCTCAGCCAGTTCCACATAAATGCCTCAAACTCATCCCCATCCGGGAGCGCCCCAATGTCTATGTCTTGTAGAAATTGGTGCAAATCTAAGTCTTCAGGGCTGTTGTAAATAAAAAACACTACACTCTTAATTTCAATGTTCCAAAATAATGAAGAAAGGTAACATTCAATGCAACGATTGTCTTTAAGACAATTTATTTACTCATACTCATATTGGTAGGTCGATATATGTAAAAGACAAAGTATCAGGAACACACGGTTCAAGTGCACAATCACTTTCTTAATGTCTAAAAATAAATAAGTAAATATATATAGACTATATTTTGGTCAGACTGAACGATTGGTCCACAAAGTTAGATCTGTGCGTTCTCAAGTGCTTCGGTACAAAAGAAAAACAGTATTATTATCAAAATATTCATTTTAATGTCTTCACTTCATACATAAATACATGTTTAAAGGACACAGGCGCGATCGACTCATCATCTCCCCATCCTGGCTGACTCAGGACTGTACATACAAGGGCGTCAGCGGGTTTGTATTTTTCGAAAGCGCTACAAATAGGCGAGCCGTCGTCCTTTGCTTCTAAATCTCTGTCTATACCTTTTGCCGAGGACTGCGGCCAGATACTTCTTCACGGCCATTTGCTTCCGATAGCGACTGTAGCTGTCTGTGAAGACCCCGTCTGAGTGGCGCTTGGAGAGCGGCTCCGTGCTGTCCTCCATCGCACTCCCTCCTCTGCGTGCGAAGAGCGAAAGGAGAGAGAGGAGGGAGAGAGAGAGAAGCAGAGAGTGCCCAGTGTGAAGGACTCTGCGTGCAAAGGGCTCAGAGCAGCTTAAAAGACAAGCCCAGTGTTTTCTATCAAAACCTCATTAAGGTCATTGTTTTCCACAACCTTGCCAGAATTCACTATTAAGAAACTGACCATTGCATTGTCTAAATGGGCTTAAATAAAGTCCAATGGCGCAATCAGTTATGCTTACAACAACCTTGATAAATCTCTTTGTTTAAAATGGGAAGCTCACAGTACAGTACCGGTTCTTCAAGATGGTTCTTCAAGGGTTCTTTAGTAAAGATGGTGGTTCTGTATGGAACCACGAACACTGAAAGAATTATCATGCCTAAAGGGTTCTTTGCATCATAAAATTGTTTTTTAGAATGATGAAGAATGTGTAAATGTTCTATATAGAAAACTACTGTTCTACTTTTTAAAAAACATCAAAAGGGTCCTTCTATTGTTACAAGCTGCACATTGTAACAGTAAAGAACCATTTTAGGTGCTACATAGAACCCTTTTCAAAAAGGTTCAATATAAAACCATATACAACATATTCTCCATCAATCTGAAGAATCATTTCACCATGCAAAGAACTCTTTATGCAGGCAAGTGGTTCTTTGAGTGTTCCTGGTTCTATACAGAACCACTAAAGAACCCTTGAAGAACCACCTGTTTTAAGAGTGTATGCTAGAAGCAGGAAGTTTGCTTCTACAGTGCTTCTGTTATTCAACATGTTCTGTACAAGCTCAGAACACACAAAGACATGTGTGACTGTACTCCAGCTTTCCCATTTCTTACAGGATTTTGCTTCATATTTTAATTTAAGCCCAGTGAGAAGCATTCACTTCCTCAGTGCCATTCCATCAGAGAGGTTATACATGATAAGAAACGGCAGTAAACAATCAATTTAATAAGGTCTTGGTAGAAAAAGACCAAACTTGTCCTTAAAGTTGTTTTAGTTGCTTGTTTCTCCTGGCCTGTCTAAACTTTAGGGCAACATTTGATATAGAAATTAAATGCACTCATCCTCAGAAGGTAGAGATATTCTTAAAGAGACAAAATTTGCAGTAGAGCATCCACAAAGAAAACACACTAAAACAAGGATCCCATCTTGCCGTGGAATATTATATATACAGTATCATTACACAGTGAGAAAGAGAACACAAGTACAGAGAAGGAACCGAGATGCTTACCCTACACGTTTTGCCATGAGAGAATGCAGGTATTTCCGGGCTGATATCTGACCCAGGACTTTCCTGTAGGCTTTATTAAACATCCCGTCTGCGTGCCTTTCCATTCTAGAATCAAAAATGCCAAACACACACATGGTCAAACAGCGCCGTAGGACACAGTGCACCAAAATAAAGCTGAGCTCAGCATCAAACGTCTCCCCTGAGCCTGAGCCCCACGTCACGGAACATACTAGATAAGCTGTGTTCGGCCAAGATAAAAGTTTAAATGAACCAAGTCTAGCCACTCTTTTCTTAACTTCTCCCTTTTTTAACTAGCCTTATCTTAACCTTTTCCTGTTTACCAAGTCTTACCTCAATGCTCTGCATGCTTCACTTGCTTTATCTCTCAATCATTTTGTATTTATCCAATTTATCTCAATCCTTTCTATGTTAAGGATTGTCCAGTCTTATCAGTATCTTTTGCATGTCTAACCAGCCTCAAGAAACAGTGCTGATCACAGAACATACACATATGTGTAATATGAGTATGGACAAACACGGACAGACAGCAAGCTTCACCTTTGCTCTGAGGGATAATATAACGTGTAGGCATCGTCCCCGGCTGATGGACTGCTCAGAGCAATCTGGTCACTGTCGAAAGCCAAATCTGCTACTGAATCTCCCTCTTCATAGCCCGCATTGTCCAGCCTGCAGCACAGAGCAACAGCATCACATCTAGCTGAGCTTTTAACATTTCATTTTATGTCTTTTATTTTTTACCTAAACAAGTATTCAGCATATAGAATTAACCTGAACGGCCCACACAAGCTGTCTCTCAGCAGGAAATGAAATAGATGCTGTCTGAACAGTCAAGTTATAGCTGACTATCAAAAAAGAGAATTACATATAAATTATTATTAATAGGAATAATATTGTAAAACGACAGAACCTGGTATAAATGCTGTTGATAAATAAATGTTTACAAGTTTCCCTAAATAGAAGGTCTTAAAAGAGGTACATTTTACCTCTTACAAAAAAAAATAATAATAAACTTTACTGATTGTTAAAATACGTTATAAAGATAATTTGACGTCTATTAGTTACTAAATTTTCTGCACCGAGGTACCAAAGAAACACAAGTACAAAGAAAAAAACAGTGCCGATCTGAGAGAGAGAGAGAGAGAGAGAGAGAGAGAGAGAGAGAGAGAATCAAAAATAAACACTTTGTTTGAGAATTTCACGGAACCCTGATTGTATGATCGATTATAAAACGACCTTCATCGAAATCTGTTCCGAATCAGCTCCGTCTGACTTCACACACTGACACCTGAGCGAAGCCCGGGCGCTGCGCTCTTCTTCCCTTTCCGACCCAAAATAAACTGCGCGGCGAAATTATGTTCATGTCGTTTTCAGGAGCGCGAACACGCTCGTTCGGGCACTAAAGCATTCCTCTCTCTGTGGTTTCTTCCTGTGCTACACTAAGTCCAACCCTCAGCAACCAAAATCAATAGCCTCGTCTTTTACTGTTCATCCTTCTAAACTAAAAGCTACAGTTTTTAGAGAGACAGTTTTCCTCATGAGGACCAGTTAAACGTCCCCTCAGCGTCACAGTGCTGATCTTTTACTGTCCTTATCCTGGACATTTCGTCCCAACGACGAGCTGAATACACACACGCGCACACACAAGGTGCGGTTCCCTTTGAGCACGCGCTCGTACCTGGCGCTCGGATAGCCGAGCGGAGAGCACGCGCCGCAGTGCACGAGGAGCCCGTAGATGAGGAAGGCCAGAGCCCTGCTGCTCCACATTGTTCTGCAGGAGAGAGTGAGAGAAAAACAGAGCGACAAAGAGACGGTTAGAGCGCGCTCCTGCAAAGAACAACAGAATATACGAAAAAAAAAAAAAAAAAAAGGCAATACTAACGTTTCACTCAACGGACATCAGACTAAAACGCTGATAGTAAACTGTCATTCAGCAGCAGCGCAAAAAACAGAACGTTAGTTTTTTTTTTATCAACGCTTCATTTAACGGTTATGAGGCTGAAACGTTCTGCTCTGTAAAGTGCCGTTAAACAGCGCTAAGAACAGAACGTTGCAATTCAAATTTTTGAAATTTTTTAAACAACACCAACGTTCCATTCAACAGTCATCAACGGCTGGAACGTTCTGAAGTGTAAACTGTCGTTCAAAAGTTACAGTTCAGCATTTCAACATCACGAATTTAACCCCCAAACACCCCCCCCGTGTTTAAGCTTACAGACAAAGTACACTAGACGAGCTTAAATGCCTGAACCCTCAGTCTGCTCAGGTGCTCTGTGTCCTCATCCTGCGCCCCGTGAGGCTGACATACCTACAGCAGAGGAGCTGGATGGAGTCCGCGAGCCTCCGACTGGAAGGATGAGATAAGATCTCTCTTTCTCTGTCTGTCCTCTTTGTCTTCTCACCTTCCTCCCTCCTGTCCGCCTGTTCTTTCTCCTCTTTCTCTAAAACTTCTCGGAGACTCGGCTCGACTCTGCTGCGCCCTCTTTGTGAAAACTTTCCGTCCGCCAAAGGAGAGAGTGCTCTGTTCGGTTCTCTCAGACCTCAGCGCGGTCATTGGTCTCCATCTCTCACTCTGGGCGGCAGTACGGCCAGTTTTATCCCTCCACGGTGAGGCAGAGCCTCCCATTTTTTACCCCCGCTGCCCCTCCCCACCCACTCTACCCCACCGCGTTAAGGGACGTTGTCGACGTCACTGACCTCCGAGATGCGTTCGTTTTTCTCCCACCTGTATTCCGACAGGCCACGCCTCTCGTACGCTATAATTGGCTGGAGTGTTCCGCCTCTGGCGCTAATAGTAGCTACACGGTCAATTACTGGCTGCTTGTTAGGATGAACTAGTAGCCAATTCTCGCACAGGGGGGCGTGGCTTACATGGGAACGGGTGGAGGAAAAACAACGCCAGATCGACGTTGTCTCGCTCGTCACGGACCAATTGAAGTCGTAAAACTCACTTGGGATTTTCATGTAAAGGAAAAAGGTGCTCGGACCACACCGCAGGTGAATGCTAATATACGCCAAATGACTCATACTGGACTTCAGTGCAGGTAAAACGGGTTTCTAACAGCACCCTGCACTCCTTTGAGGGGGCGAGGGCCGAGCCTGAACTTTAAACCAACTAGAATGAGTCTGAATCTGTTCCCTATACTCACCAGGCTAAATTAACTGACATTAAGCCATAGTGGACAGCGGGTCTTATGGTCATTTGGGGACACGTCAAAAGCAGTTCCTACTTGGTTAAGCACTGGCCAGTCTCTCATTCAGTTTCTCAGTAAAAATATATATATTTAGAGCAATTTAAATATTTGATTATTTAGAAAGAATACACTGGTGATCAACTGAAACTACACATAAAAAGATGGTTCTTCAAGGGTTCCTTAATACAGGGAATGGTTCTATTTAGAACCATGAGAACCATTTTCATCTTGGCATGGTGAAATAGTACTTCAGATTGATTGGGGAATGCGTTGTATAAGGTTCTATATAGAACCCTTTTTGGTGCTGTATAGAACCATATACAACGCATTCTCCATCAGTCTGAAGAACCATTTCACCATGCAAAGAACCATTAAAGCTTGAAATAAGCATGCTTCTAAACTTTACTAAAGAACCCTTGAAGAACCATCTTTTTTGAGAGTGTAGAGTAAAATAGTCCGAGAGATTCATCATGATGGCCCATAATACTCCCTGTATTAAATATGTCACGAAGTAATGGCAGCTATATTAATATCACCACACAGTGAGCTCTCCGATTAGAAGGTCACTGCATTATACTGAATATGAGAGACTCGGTCAGTCTAAGTTATTTCACACTGTGACAGAAAGTGGAAAAACAAACTGCGTGTTTATATTTTTAGCTCTGTTCCCAGAGGATTTACTATCATGATACAGTTGGAGCTTCGCTCGGACTGAATCACCTGCTCTGACGTCATGTGACGTATATGCCAGAGCTGGTTAATTTTGCTGAAATACGAGCTCTTTGTGAAGACTTTTAGGAAGGATAGAGTGAATGAATGAGTGGAAAAAGTGATCGCTCAGTGTCCTTCCATAGGGACACCTCACACCACTGAACAGCGCGCGCCATCAAGTGTTTCAGGTTAATAACTGCACTAAGCGCGTCATTTCTGGTTTATTAGCACAGCTGGGTTGGAACTAATTGCATTTGCCCGGTCACGCTTGCTTAAGTAACATGTTGATAGAGTTACAATTCAGAGAGTGCTTTCAAATTATATTATTGTATTTATAGGCGTCTTATGATGAAAATAATTAGCTTTTTTGCTCAATTCCACTCTGTGAAAAAATGCAGCTTTTAAACTTGAAAAAGTAAGTAACTGAGTAACTTGAAACTAAACTTAAAATAATCAGTTGACAAATGTTAAACACATTTTTTTAATATTATAATTTCAAGTTAGCCTGAATACTTTTGTATGTTTAAAAACTATATTTTTTCAGTGCAGTCACTCCAGTCATTTACCTCCAGTTCCTAATAGCTTTTTTTCTATGTAATTTCCGTCTGTTCTGTTGGAGACCGTTTTCTGTGGCTCACACATCTCACTTTCGAGCCTTTATCATATTAATTTAGACCAAACCAATCCCAATCAAATGTTTCAATCAAATGTTTCTTCTCCTGATAGATGCACTAAGATGTTCCACTGCAGTTCTACAGTGCCTTGGTTCCCCAGATAGTCCACATTTTTCCTCCTAATACATGAGGATAGAGGACAGGGGATAGCTTTATAAATCACTAGACTGAAGAAATAAGGCTTTTATTTTGAGTGTGGTTTTAGACCACACCTTTGACTATTAATGACAATGCTGTTTGAGGCTCTGTATGCAAGAAACAACTTGCTTTGTACGTTTCCCTTTCTCTGTTGTCTAATATCTGTGGGTTAAAGCATTATGTGACTGAGTGACGTGGTCTTCTCCAGCAATAGGCCTGCTGTGCAGAGTTTTCTCGCTGTCTCTGGAGAACAGGCTCAGCATGCTCTTCCCCGAACATCAAACCACACAAGCAGATAACCTGCACCTAATACCGGAGGCACTGTCGATATCCCGTCAGCAGCACGAGCCCAAATTAAGATTCCTGGCATGTGTCTGATAAGACTATATTTACCTCGTCTTTCTTCTTCATTCTTTTTTTTTTTGATTCATAAAATGATATTTAGAGTTGAGAGTTTTTTGTCTGTGGCTGCAGTGTAAGGTTATATGTTGGTGAATTCTGATAGACTGAACAAAAAGCTTTTATACATGCGTATAACAACTGAACGATGGCTGTATTTTCTTTTGGTGAGAAGCCCTTCAGATATGGACAACTAGAGTTTAACTGTTCCTGATGTGTGGACAAGAGCAGTAGTGAAATCTTTTTTAGATAGTCTTAATGTGGCAGGACATTTTATCATGACCTTTTTTACATGTTTTGATATGACCAGCTGCCCTTCAGATTGTTTGAAGATTGCATGAGGAATGGAACAACAGAAGTGATCCAAAATTACTTGGAATACTTACATTAATTCCTTGGAAAACGTACGTTGAAGTTCTGAATGTTTTTTTTTTTTTTGGTGAGAATTAGTATTTATTGTACATGATGTAAGAGTGGAGTATTCTCTCTCTCTCTCTCTCTCTCTCTCTCTCTCTCATTGCTGCTGATTGTTTTATAGTAGTCTCTAAGTTACTATCTTGCTTCAGCCAGTGTCAAGATCATAAACAGCAGAGTAATAACCTGTACTTGCATGTTAAACAATGGCTAATTTGCACATATGTTTCTGTGTACATCAGCTTATTTAATTAAAGTGTGTGTATCTTCGTGCTGATCCTCCATTAAACTAGTCTATAAACGTGAGTGTAATAGAGTTGAAGAGTGAAATGGTAGGGTTGCCTAACTAAGTGCAATATCATTGTTGTAATTGAGAGAACATTTGGCTCTTTTCCCAGTGTAATCTTCAAGAGGGTGATTGCTTTCTGATTCATCCTCTCTCTCTCACAGTCTCTCTCACCCTCACTCTCTCTTGATCTTCCCACCTCTGACTCATCACAGCATTTCCTTTGGAGGCTTGGCACTGCTGGAAGTCCAGAGAGTGTGAGTGCTACACTGCGGACAGCAAAGACAGAGGATGTTGAGCTGCATTTCGTTCTGCAGGGTCTCTAAACAGTACCCTTACGTTCCTTACATACTGAGCCCAGGATGTGGGATAAGGGAACTGCCGTATTAAATACTGTAATCTGAAACATGCTACAACATCATCATTAAACACAAAGCAACATGTGCTTTTCAAGAGATGTGCAATGACTGATTGGCAAACTGTTGAAGAATCCAAACCCCAACCCAAAACCAGGGGACTAGCTGTATGTCTGGAGAATGAAGTTTATTCTTTGCGCACAGGTACCAGACACCTAGCCAGCCCATAAGGCAATGAGCTGATGCAGTTTTATAGCTGGACTGATGCCAAGATTAGGCTTAGCCTATACATGACAAGTGACAGGTGTGACAGACATGACCATATAGGGATAACCAAACATAGGCAGAACGACTAGTGCAATTGGAATGCACTTTTATTTTGTTCTTATAAATTAATAAAGTAAAGCTACACTATGTAAGATGTTTTTCTTAAAATTGAAAAATTACTGAGTCAGGAGAAAAAAACAGGCTAAAATACAATGTCTATTCACCGCCACGAGTCGCCCTGTAAAGCCTTCAGTAGTAATTTATGAATCAGAAGTGTAGCATTGGATTTGGCAGGAGTTTTTCACACTACATCATATGTCTGTATGCATTAGCGTCAAACACACATGCTCAAAAAGAAGGTCTGGCTTTATGTTTTGGTCTCAAATGCAAAACAGTAGATGACAATAGTAGATAATTTGCTTATATCCTCGGAAGACAAAGACACATTCTTCACCAATTTTGACTGAGATCTCTTTGATTCATCTGCTCAGGGAAAGGGTCCTAGGCACAACCGGCATTACATAATGTTGTTCCCAATGTTGCATGCAATTACACATTTCCACCAGAGAGGTCTCCAAATTCCCATATCTTACATAGTGTAGCTTTGAATAGGCATTTGGACACACACTGAATTCGACTTGGCTTGAAAGTAGGAAGTTGGAGTTTGGAATTCATTTTCACTTAATTCGAGCTACATTGATGCAATTTTGAGCTACATACATGCATTCGAGATACAATGTGGAAAAACAGATGCCTCCATAAAGGAGAGTCCTGTTAGCACTAGGCCAGCCAACATTAGTGATATGAGTGATAAATTTAATGTTCATGATGTGTTCACTTTTGCGAAGCAGTCAACGTTGTGGTCAGTGTTAAATTCTGAATTATTGCTTCAGTTGAGCACGCCTATAGAGCTCTAAATGACTGTTTGGAATATTTAACATATTGACTGACATGAAAAATCACTTCTTAGCAACTGTCGCTAAGCATCAGCTCCTCTGCCAAGTGGATAAAATTTGTAGTCAGAATGGCCTTGGTTGTAAATAAGTCATCTTTATTAGGCTAAAAGTTAGTTAACATTTCTTGGAATGGTTTAATTCAAAAACACACTGTACATTCAGTACCGGTACTTTATTTGTGAGTGAAATGGCATGCTCCTCTGTGTGCTGTGCGCTTCTAAATTCTTTGAGTTACTGTAACACAAGTGCTACAGATGCTACCAGACGACTTGATGGCATGTGCTGAGCTGAAAGTTTGACAGACATGGCAACAGTAACCAAGGGGCAGGGCCACCCATGCTCTACCCACACTGAGTGCACTTAATCCGATAACTGCAGAAAATCAGATTTTGTCAGTAATCCGATCAACGTGTTTTCATTCACTTGAGTAATCAGATAATGAGAGAACTCAGAGTCTACATGAGTCAGACAATAGTCGGATTTCTGCTTTGCAACCAGCCAATAAACTCACAGAAGAAGACGTGATGTAAATGTAATGTAAAACTCAAACTTCATGCTATGGCTTTTTTTTTTTTAAACATTGCGCCACTTTACCTGAGAATGTAACCATACATTATCAAGAAGAAGAAGAATATTTAAATCCTTCATTTCGTCAAGCATGTAGTTGGTTTCAGCATCACTCTAAAAGTGTTTTGCTGCCATCTAGTGGCAACGCTGCTTGCTTTTTTCCAGTACAGCGGCCTGTTTTCACACGTGCAGATTGAGAAATTTGAAAGAAATCTGAGAAAGAGTTTACACACACTGAGAAATCTGAGCTAAAATCCAGCCCTCTTTATTGGATTTCTTAATCAGATTTCTAGATCTTACTCCGATCTAAGAAATCTGTGTATGCTGTTTAGATGACCATTTGAATTATCAAATAACTGCAGAAATTATGATCGGATTATTGAGTGCATGTAAACACACTCGTTGCTTTCTTTTCTAGCAACAGTTACCAGGTTGAGAAAAATGTAATTTAATATAATAAAAAAGTGTAGTGCACTTTAGAGTCACTAAATAATGTTGAGTTTCCAGTTTATAATGCTGCGCTGGTCTGTGTTAATGTGGCCAATCAAAACGAAGCAGATTGGAAATGATAAAGTGTTTGCCAGCATGGCAGTGTTAACACAATTATATGGGGAAACAATACACCCAATCTATACTCTAACAGTATGACTTCACACACATGCAAAGTGAATATTATTTGAAATGAATAGCACACAATTTATATCATAAAAAAAGAGTGCATTAATTTCTAATTATGTTGAATGGAATTTATGCCAAGGTTCTGTAAAACTTGTCCAATTTCCCAAAAACTGCTTCGAGAAAATGCAGTTGTAGGTGGTGCAAAACCAGGCCAGTTTGAGATTTCCAGGCAGCATTGTGAGTTGAATATGTTGCACTACTGAACTGGAATCAGCCCTGCCATTTGTGAGGAGATGTAAGTGGGCATTTTTTTCCATTAGGAAATCAAACAACCACAAATGCATGGCAGGGCAGAACGCAATACTGTATGTCAATTTCAGCAACATCAATTAGATTCACTGCACTCACTTCCACATTATGTTAAAATGTGCACTGACCTCACTCTGGAAACCATGACAGGTGACATCAAAATGAGGCCATAAACATGAGACACAGATCAAGATAAGACTGATTTCCTGAATACATATTACTGAAAGTCTGCTTTGACTCCGAAAAGGCTGGTTGCGTTTTTCTCTCTTAACAACATGCTGTGGTGCTGTATTAGATTAAGTCATTTACTCTTCCACATATGCAAAAGTTTGGGCGCCCTGGTCAAATTAAATGTTTTGTTGACATCACATCCTCTACAGAGACCAAACGTCTGCACATTTTAATGCACTATAACTGTTTATTTGCTGAAGTTGCCAAATTGGAAATAAAGAAAACATAAAATGAGACCTGTGCAAACATTATGGCACATTTTATATTTTATAGCTTTTTCAACATATTAAACTCAGCAAATAAATAGAAATTGTGCACTACAATTTGCAGAAAAATGTAATTTTTTAAGTGTGTTCTCTGTAAACGATGTGTTAACTTATTTTCACTTCATTAACAAAACATGGAATTTGACCAGGGGTCTTCTGACTTTTGCATACAACTGTATAGACAAAGACTTTAAGTCTTTGTATCTATTCCACATTTTACGCAATCTTTCACGCAAAGGAAAAGAAAACAAAACATTATCAAAAATTTCATGTCATTTTCAGGGATGTGTAGAGTACTTAAGAGTACTTAACATACTTAAATAAAAGTGTTGCTACTTCTGTGAAATAATAACTGAAGTTAACCCCTTAAATGGCCAGGGCCCACCGGCAGGTCCAACGTTTTATTACTCAAAAAATGTATTACTTCCCAAATGTAAATGACTACTATGTTACTTAGTAAAAGGCAGACTGCTGTCCTTACAAATATACCCAAGTAAAAGTAACTGTTTCATCATTAAAAAAATCCATCAGAATTTTACTTGAGAACATGGAGCTGAGTAAATTTAACTAATTTGAAGGGACGTAGATTCTCTCCCATAACCAAATTTAAATTTTTTTAATACAAAATATTTTGCTTAAGAAAAATCTCTCTCTCTCTCTCTCTCTCTCTCCTTAGTTTAGCATTTGTGTGTGAGGTTATGTGTGTTTGTGTGAACATGAAAACCTGTTTTAAGATTATGTTTCTCAGTTTTTATCCATTCTTTTAACTTTGTTTCCTTTTTTTGTGTTCATATGATCCTGAAAAAACATTTTTCTTATTAAATTTTATAATCTGTTTTGCTTTCGAAATTCAATTTGTGGTCTTTTTTTTATTTTTTTTGTCTATCATATCACAGGAATTATGAATTAATGTTTTCATGCATTTCTAAATTTCAGTCTTAGTTATGCTGTGGTAAATTACCCATCGAGTCACTACCCTCCTCTGATAATCCTATCAGTGAGAATATGAAGTGCATCGAAAAAGTGACAGTTGGATAATAATAGATTATGTGTTATGAATGTTGAGATTTGTACATAGTAAAAAAAATACTTAAATGCATTGAAGCATTTTTATTTTTATTTATATAAAATTTGTGAAAATATTAAATTAATCTAAATGTTAAATGATGTTTTTTTTTTGCTTCTGGTGCTCATGAATGACTACATTTTAGTTTAAGAGACCAGGTTTGCCACAGGTCATAGATGTTTAGACCAGATTCAGCCCTCATTATCATTCATATCACAAAACACTGCCAGTTTCATTGGACCAAACACCCTTTTTAAATCTTAGCCATCAGCAAAAGCCTCAAACCAAATTCTGCAAAAGAAATCTATACATTATATTACTATGCATCCGTTCTGAATGTTTAACATTGTTTGATCAGAGTCATATCTTTTAATATTTGGTAAGAAAGAAATATTGAATCAATTTTGCACTAAAAAACTCACAGCTGTAGTTATATCTAGTCAGTCAAATGACATTTTTTGTTGATTGTTTTCTGCACATTTTAATGCACACTTTCTGTTTATTTGCTGAGATTAACATATTGGAAAAAAACAGAAAATATAAAACGTGCTATATTTTTGCACAGGCCATGTTAACTTCAGCAAATAAACAGTAATGGTGCATAAAAATATGCACTGCATTTGTCTCTGGACGTTGCAGTGTCTCAACGGGGCCGCTAGATGGCAGCATATGATTTGCAGTGAGCCTCGGAGTGGCATTAAAGCAGAACGCTTTCTGCCAGCCTGCCTCTGTCATGTGGGCATGTCAGCCGCTCTTCGGGGGAAAAACGCGCGTGTGTGAGTGAGTGTGTGAGCGTGTGTGTGTTCAGGCAGAATCCGCGGAGATTTAACAGCTCTGTCCAGCTGCGCGCTTAACTCAACATCCATCCGCCATGTTGTTAAGGGGGCTGAGGATTCCACACACACTCGGCGGAGTGGAGAGTGAGAGAGTTCAGCGGCCGCGCTGAGAGGAGCTGAACAGAAACCCGCTCTGAAATGCACTTGGAGGAGAGTTTGCAGTGAAGGGCGAGGAGACGGGACGAGTCCGCGATTCTCACAGGTCAAGCTCGATGATTTTGCTCTCTCGTGTGTGTGTGTGTGTGTGCTGACCTCCTCGCAAATATCAGTGACTGTTATCGGCTGTGTCACTTTGAAGTTTTATTCGCCAGCTTCTTCTTCGAATTTCCCCGTTCCACCTTAAATGATGGTTCCACCTTAAATGCCTCAGGCGCCAGAATGGAACTGCTGCACCATTTAAGGTGGAACGGGAAAATTCGAACGAGAAGCCGACTTGAGCCTCGTTCACTTTTTTAACCGTGATCTTCGCGAGGAGTGGATTAATGTAGCGAGACTGAATGTTAAACTCCAGATGTATGACGTACGTGCGCGAGAGAGAGATAGACCGCTACAAACTCTTAGCTCGTGCGTCTGTGCCACGTTTTATGAGCTGTTGCACAAACTACACTACATACCACATTCTGTTTCAAAAATGTGCAAAATATGTGACTCATCTGGAGGAAAGAAAGGTTCTTCATCTGTAAATGTGTTTGTGCAAAATAGAATTTCACTTAGAAAAAAAATCCGCATAATTAAATGTTTAAGATGTAAACAGAGTTATTCAGAGCGGTTTGGTGTGAAATGCTCCATTCTTCAAAAAGGTACTGAGAATGGTTCACAGTGGTGGTGATGGGAACCAGACGTCCGAAGCATTTCACAGTAGCCATAAAATGCAATTTCAGCTGCTTTTGGATGTCATTTAAGTTCAGGCTTAGATTGTGATGTTTTAATAACATTTTTAAAAAATAAATTTGATTATATAAATATGCATCAATGCCTCTAAAGGCTACTTCACAGAAAGCTGGTACATGAAATGGTTATGAATACGCTGCCTGAAGCCTGGGACATTGTTTAATGTTTTACAGTAATTCTGAGATAAAGTTTTTTGTATTTGAATGTATTTTTTACAATCCATTTATGGTGGAGAGGCACATGTAGGGTATTGTAAGGCAAAATAGTACCCAAAGAAAACTTCTTTTTTCAAATTCATCACTATAAAACCAATATCATTGTTACATATATTATTTCAGAAGACACATGTAGGTTCGCTGGTCATTTGGATAGCATATAAAATGGCTATATTTGCGTTCTAGTAATTGTGACCTCTGGTTCCCATCACCACCGCTGTAACGAAATCGGAGTCAGTAAGTTTCTCTAAAAATGAACTATTTCACATCATATCACTCTCAATGAATTTCTCTATGTGGATTGAATTATGCAGAATTTATGTGAAATGGGTGGAATTTCCCTTTACATAACTGAAGCAGAGCTGTGTGTGAGTGTGTGTGTCTGTGTGTGTGTGTGTGAGAGAGAGAGAGAGAGAGAGAGAGAAGGAGGGAGTTAGCAGGCCAGAATGTGGATTTCTCTTCATCCACATCGTAAACATCACAAACCCATGACTGACCACATGGCTTGTCTCAATGTATGAATTGGAAGTATGTCCAGCCGCCCCAGCTATTATAGAAAAACTTTTCCTCCAGCTCCCGGACCACCATGAGCTTTCACATCTCACTGACATTATTCATTCCGCACTTTTAAACATTAAGTAAAATCCATTTCAGGTCAAATTTCATAAGTTCTCGTAAACAGTACTGTATTGATGAAGAATTCAAAGTAGTGGATCTTTATGTGATACTAGTCATAATAGTATTTAGCAGCCAAGAGACTCACCCATGTTTCTTTACTTCAGAGCTGCAGTTTCAGTGCATACAAAGCTGATTTCATTGGATCAAACCACTTTTTGAAACTTTTTCCAAGCTCTGTTTCCTACTGTTAGAGAAATCAATAGGAGAATATAAAATATGCATTCTCATCATACAGTCTGCTACCTAATCACTGCCCATTGACACAATAGTTTTAATTAATATTTTTTTTCAATTTAGTGTAATCAAGTCATCATGACAGTCATTATCCTGCTGCTAGTGTGTAGCTGTGAAATTGCTCTATACTTCGCTTGTCACGAATGAAGAATGCTAAAGCGTGTGGAAGGAAGTTCTTCCAGGAGGAATCCTAAGGGGAGAGCATTTTTGCAGCTGTGATGATTCTCTGTTTTGGACTGGGTTATGGTTAAAGCCCTACAGATGGGGCGTATGTGTGTGTGTGTGTGTGTGTCAGTAGTTTGGGTTGGAGAGGTCAAACGTGAGTGTTTTGACTGTATGGACCAAGACCTAATGTTACAGCTGATGTAATTAAAGGCTTTAAAATGCACATACATACAGTTTAGCACGGATTAAAGATATGGAATGGTTTAATGCGTAATGTGTTTGCATGCATGTGTTGGGTTGTACAGTCATTGAGCAATGCACTGCTCTTAAGAAGCATCATAAGTTACTTGACTTCTAATGGTGCCCCTTGGTGGAGAATTTTTCAGCCTGCTAAACTGCTAAATTGTGATAACATATTGTGATTTCTTACTTTTTTTTCCAGCTGCAAATACAACCACCATGTTTTTGTTTTTTGTCTTCCATTCTTGTGCTGCATTTTGCAGGAGGTCTTGAATGTTTATAGTCACTTAGGAATCCTCTGCCCTTGACATCCATGCTTCGCAGGTTAATGCAATCTCTTCTGCTGTACTCAAAGATTCCTCAACTTTAAGCTTCACTTCTCTATCGAGCTTAAGTTCAGCTATAGTCACATACCTACGGAAGTCCAGCGAGGCCGAGAGTAGTTATAATGTCCTGGACTGTTATCTTGAGGTCACGACTTATTCGTCTTGTAGTCTCAAGATTGCAAAAGTTGTTGTCTTGAAATAACTTGAGAATCTTTAGATCAAGAGAAAAATAAGGTGTGATATCGAGAAAACTAGTTTTGTTGAAGTTTGTTAGTATGTTAGTGAGTATGTTAGTGAGTTTGTGTGTTCTTTAGTTTGTTAGTTTGTTAGTGAATTAGTGAGCTTGTTAATGAGTTTGCTAGTGGATTAGTGAGTTTGTTATTGTGTTAGTTTGTTAGTGAGTTTGATAGTAAGTTTGTTAGGTAGTGAGTTAGTACATGAGTTAGTGAGTTTGTTAGTTGTTGTTTAGTTGGTGAGTTTGTGCATTCATTGGTTAGTGAGTTTGCTCATGAGTTTTACTGAGTTAGTGAGTTTGACAGTAAATTTATTAGGGAGTAAATGTGTTGGTTAGTGGGTTTGTGAGTTTGTTAGTCAGTTTGTGAATTTGTTAGTGAGTTGCTGAGTTTGTTAGTGAGTTTGATAGTGAGTTTATTAGTTAGTTTGTCAGTTAGTGAATTTATTATGTAGTGAATTTGTTAGTGAATATTGGTTACTTATTGTTAGTTAGTGAGTTTGTTACTGAGTTTGTGGGTTTGTTAGTATGTTTGTTAGTTAGTGAGTTTGTGTTTGTGCGTTTGAGTTTGTTAGTGGGTTTGTGAGTTAATCAGTGCGTTAATGAGTTTGTTGGTTAGTTTTTAGTTTTTAGTTAGAGATTGTTACTAGGTTTGTGGGTTTGTTAGTACATTTGTTAGTTGGTGAGTTTGTTAGTGACTTTGTGTTTGTTAGTGAGTTTGATAGTGAGTTTGTTAGTTAGTGAATTTGTTAGTGTGCAGTTGTACAATTAAATGCAAACAAATAATAGAAAGGTTGCCAAAAAAAACAAAAGAAATAATGCATTTCCATCAGCTCTGTTAAAATGAATAATTCTCTCTACGTCATTTCTGTAAAACCGTTTCTGAGAAATATGAAATGAGTTCACACGCACATGTATACTGTTAAAGTATTCAATTTTGGGCTGTATTTCACATCATACTGGCAAATCTTATGTCTGTTTACCATCTAATCTCACTGTTGTGTTTTTATCTTTGATAAGATAAAAGTATGTTTTAATTATTGCATTAGTAAATCAGCAGCTTTCATAGCTATGATCAGACATGACCAGTAACACACATGGTCAGTCTTACTAATTTGTTTGTCTCATTTACTCTTTATTTATTAAAAGAATAATTATTTTATACCATTAAATAATGTATCCACCTCCAGCAAGCATACACATGTCTGTGTATTTGTTTGACAATTGTATTTGGTAGTTGCTTTTTCCATCAGGTCTTTTTTTGTATTTGGTGTGTCAAAATACACATAAAACACCATGAATGGCAACCCAGGTAATGAGTGCAAACCCTCCCTACTTGCTTGTTATTTAAATCAAAATTGAGAGCAGGAAGAAACAGCGCACCCCTCCCCTCGCAAGCCAGCTTTAGCTCAAGGCCAACATATCAGCTCGTGGCTCGTGCATTATTATAGCATATTGTGAGGTGACTTTTGAGGAGAAGCACCCCAGGGTAACATTCCACCACCCCACTTTATTTTTTCCCCTGATCAGTTGATGGGGCCAAATCTTATCTCCACACAATTACTGAAGGGTCTAATTATCTTATTAATTCAGAAATTTGATCCTTATGACCACATTGCTGGGATTTATTCCCTTGGAAACTTTTTTGGGTCAGTTGATGAAATTTTTTGTTGTTGGAAAATAATCATCTGTGCTTTTGTATTACGTTGTACAAGAAACATGGTTGAGCTATGTGAGTATAGGAGGGGTGTTGAGTGAGCAGTACTTTTGATTTTGAGAGTAAAAGTGAAAAGTCAGACCTTTGGGGTAAAATGTTCCACCAGACGTGGGGCAAAAGGCCCCCTTTATAGTACTGCCCCAGAAATAATTTATTAGATTTTTTTACATAAAGACACAAAGTGTTTCACTGATTAGCTAGCATTAGCATTACAATTTTAGCGATCTTGCTGGAGATGAGTTTGTTTTTGAGTTCACACCTGATCTGTCATGTCTAAAATCATTTGCACTTATGAATTACATGTTAATTAATGAACAAAATTGACATTCATGATTCTGTTTTACTGCTATTTGTCTGTTGTCATATCTTATTAAAGTGAAGAGGAATTATTAAGACAAATTCATTAGGCCTCAATTTTATTTAAAAATATAATATTTGTTTTGTTGTACTTACAATAATAATAAGTAATACAATATTAATAACTAATAATTTTTGAAAAATGACAAATTGGTGCAAGATTCTAAAGGGGGCTTTCGTGGGGCAAGATGCCTGTTGTTTATATACATATATGTTAAAGTTAGAAAATAAGTAGTGCACTGAAATGCAGTGTAGTGTTATCTATAGAAGATGTGTTAACTTCTTTCCGCTTTTACGTGTAATTTGACCAGGAGTATTCAAACCTTTACATATGACTGTATGCTTCATCATCCAGGACATTCTAAACTTGTGCAGATATGATGCATTGCTCTTAAGGGGGCATTTTCCTCTATTTTTACAATGTTATACTCTAATAAACTTAAAATGGGAGCAATGACATATTAACACTGCAGATTTTATATCATATCGAATATGAATTGTGAATTTTGTGAATTTTTCCACATCTACAGATCAGTTATTATTGTTGATTCTTTTTGGGTTTTTTTTGTGTTACTTTTTCACACATCTGTCTGACTAATTCTGCAACACCTAGTGACCTCAGCAAGAAAATAACACTATAAATGAACAGGGCAGTTTTTCTGTATGTGTTTGTATATGTGTGGGCTTGCATGTGTCATGTCTGTTTCAACTGAGTACACTGCACTAGCCTCAAGCTCTCTTGAATGTTGAGCATTCCTCTGTGTGTGTGTGCGCGTGTGTATTTGTGCAGTTGTAGGTCATTTGCTCCAGGCTAAGAGATGATGTAATTAATTAGTTTGTGTTACTAACTATAGACCGCCTGAAGTCTATCCAGCCTCAGCATCTCTGTGGTTTGGTAGAGGCTGGAATGGATCCGGTCTATGGATGCTGATTATGTCACAGTCCATGTGTTTTGATTGATGCAATCAAGTTACAACTGCTTACTGATTAACCCTTTATTTCTGAGGCAAAAGAGGAGCTACTTATACATTTTAATCTACTCTTCACCTTTAATAATGTGATGTCTCAATGCTGTCATTTTATTTTAATATGTAAAGAACATAATCTATGACATTTTAAGCAAGCAAACTTGAATAGAAACATTCACGTCACACTTTCGTCACCTTTTAAAGGTTGCTACAATGAAACAAATTAATAGTAAGCACTTCCATTGCAATATAAATTCATTGAGTACCCACTGTTACACAAATATTAAAATTAGTCAGAATGCACTCGTACCATATTCTAGGCCACTTTCCCGGACCTAGCTGAAGCTTAATCCTAGACTAAAAAGAATTTACAGTGAGGAGCCACCATTTGTGCTGCAATTTAGTCCAAGACTAGGCTTAATCCATGTCTGGGTAACTGATTATTTTCTCTGCTTTCTCCATTTTTATTTTTCTTCTCATCTTCTTTCTCTTCTATTTTTTGTTGTCAGTTTATGGTTTATGTTTCTCTAGATGCAAATCAAATCCTCTCTGGGTAATCCTCACAGAGTCTCTCTCTCTCTCTCTCTCTCTCTCTCTGTTTTTCACTCTCCAGAGAGGATTAAGATGAAACGTTGAGGGCTGAAGAGTCTGGTAAATCAACATCACACTGTAAGATCATATTTCTTTTTGAATCACTAATCTCTGGGTGAAACATGTTGGTGTGTGTGTGTGTGTGTCATGAAATCTTAAGCTATCCTTAATGATAACCCATCAAACTCTTTTTCTCTCTCTGTCTGTGTCTAAGCTATCAAAGAGAAGTTTCTCATTTTGTATTATCAGAGGAAATACTGCGCAGAGCATTAGTTGAAGGGAGTATATTGGCATGTGTTGTGGAGAAGAATGTGAGCGATTGCCCAGTCAGACAAGTTCCTCATAGCTCTTTGGGGACCTCTAGAAGTGTGGTTTAACCCTATCTTACCTACACTATATGGCCAAAAGTATGTGGACACCTGACCATCAGACCTGTATGAGCTTGTTGGATATCTCTTTTTAAAACCATCGGCATATAACAGCATCCAGTCTTCTGGGAAGGCTTTCTACAAGACGTTGGAGTGTGTTTGTGGGAACTTGTGCCCATTCAGTCAAAAGAGCTTTTTTGATGTTGGATAAAAGGAATGACTTACAATCAGTGTTTCAATTCATCCCACAGGTGTTCAGTGGGTTTGAGATCTGTGCTGCTCTGTGCAGACCCCAGGAGTTCATCCACAACAGATTCATCTAGCCATGTCTTTATGCACCTCGCTTTGTGCATAGGAGCACAGTCACACTGGAACAGGAAAGGGCCCTCACCGGACTGTTGCCACAAAGTTGAAAGCATATAATTGTCTAAAATGTTTTTGTATGCTGTAGCATTAGCATTAATCTTCACTGGAACTGAGGCTGCTAACTGAAATCTTGAAAAATACCCACAGACCATTATCCTTCCTCCACCAAAGTTTACTGTTGGCACTGTGCATTTCAGTAGGTCCACCAAAACCAGATTCGTCCATCAGATTGCCAGATCGTGAAGCATGATTCATCACTCCAGAGAACATGTTTCCACTGCTTTAGAGTCCAGTGGCTGCATGATTTACATCACACCAGCCAAAGCTTGGCTGTGCATATGGTCATCTTAGGCTTGTCTGCAGCAGCTTGTCCATGGAAACCCATTTCAAGAAGCTCCTACAAGAAGCACTCAGTGACCCCACTGTAAGTTTGCATGGTTTACCACTTCGTGGCTGAGCTGTTGTTGCTCCTAGGTGCTTACATTTCACAGTAATAGCACTTACAGCTGACTGTAAGTCCTATCTAGCCGGGAATTTCATTAACTGACTTGTGGCAAACGTGGCATCCTATGTCAGCGCCACATTTAAAGTCACTAAGCTCTTCAGTATGAACAATGTATGTGCTTGACTTTATACACCTGTTTGGAGTGGGTGTGGCTGAAACACCTGAACACAATAATTAGGTGTAGGTGTCTGCATACTTTTGGCCTTAGAGTTTAGCTTCTTGCCAGTGATACATTCAGAGGCTTTGGCTTTCTCCCCTTTAATTCATTCAAATTTGGCCCCAGAGTATTTACAACACATGCATATCCACATTGGCCATGCAGTGTATCAGCTTGTGGAGTTTTCTGTCTTGATATAGGGGATGCACCATGCTACCTTTGTTGGATATTCTGTCAGTGTCTGAGCAAGCATAAACATACATTTAGAATGAAGTTCAGACCTGTAAACACATTTATTTATTTCATCAAAGTAATGATAAAAGGTGTATTAAAGTATATTCATGTTTTCTTGTTCAGAATCATAGTTTGTGACACAAAATAAAAATCTGATTTTTTTAGCTTTGTTAGATCATCTTTACATTTTAAATAAATGCACAACAGCATTAAGAAATCATGTTACATTGATCTTAAAGGGTTAAAGTGGCTGTTTTCTACTGATCTGATCTCTTGATAGATGTTGAGTTCAGGATTTAAGCACGGAAAGCTGGCCCCAGACCAGAGGAACGCACTACGAAGCAGGATGTCTGACTTAGCACTCCAACTTTTGGCTAGCTTTGTGTTCTACTCAGACATACAAGTGCCACAACATAAGCTCTGTTTTTAGGTATATTTGCTGTTAGGGCCTAACAGATGTGAGCATTTTGTTGGCTGTTTTAAGGAGCTAAAATTGTGATCATCAACAATAAATCATTTAAAAAGTATAACAGACTGCAGTAGTTTTAGTTAAAGACTGTTTTACTGTTGGATAAGGACAGATGTCAAATTGTCAGTGTAAATTTTCAACTGTAAAATTTCATAAATAAAGAGCAAAAATGTGTGAAGACTTACATACAAGCCACAAACAGAAGCTCCTCTCGAATAAACTGTGCTCACATACAGAATGTTCACTTTCTGTCCAATGTTTCCTTTCCAAGACATTATCCATACTTTATCAGTGGGATTTCCGCAGATGCTGGTAAATCTGTGAAGCCTTAATATCAGTGTTCAAATTACACTGTGGACCTCTTTTTTTTTGGGGGGGGGGCTGTTCTCTTGAAAACATATGGGTTTGCACAGATATGGTCTGTTATAATGTAGAAACATTATAATGATGTAACCAAATGTAAAGTAAAATTATTAATTTATTTGTTGTCTGTTTAAAATAATATTGCAACTGTCTTGAACTGTACTAGGTATTAAATATAGACATTAAAATCTAAACAGTTCACACCATGCATCATGTGTAGCATCCTGAGTTAATATCTTGCCATCTATTTCATCCGGGAAGAACTTTGTTGCATGAAGACAATAGCAAGTTGCCAGTTTTCAGAAATGCTGTGTCAGACAGCTGAAATATAACAATAAAGATGAGAAAAAACATCAACAAACTTAAACGGCTAATCATTAACTATGTCAGGCTAAAGCATACATACTGGGCATGGAAGTACACAGGTCACCGCTGCTTACAACAATGCAGAAACTTTTTTGTTTGACAGGTTGTGTTTTTTTTTTCTGTTTGGCTTTTGAAATAGATATCCTCTACTCTGTTGGGGTATCGGGTTTCACTTTTACAGATTCCCCAGGCACATCTTTTGAATATGTGGAGCTTGAAATTTAAACTACATTCATAGGCTAAATACGTTCACTTTGGCTTGCTGCTAAAAACTTGATCGAGGTAATGGTAGTGAAATGGTTGCTGAGCAGTGATTGGAGTAGAAAATGATGCGAACGTTCAATTATGATGTGCAGAGCATCAGCACTTTAACTGGGTGTAATACAAGGTTAAAATTAGTTCCTTTTTTCGCTGTGCTTCTTGTAAAGTTCTTACCACATATCAAGGGTGTTGTTTATATTTTGTAATAATTACTCACAGGTACCCCTAGAGGCTTGGACATAGGGGCATAAACCCATGGAATGATCAATGTCTGCATCTACAATATTTGGTGTGAACTAATCAGACTTTTCCCATAGTTTTGTCCATTTTGACGGCTGTTGAACACTGCATTCGTGCTCAGGTGCACATTTAACCAGTGAACTGTGAATTATATGAAGGAATCAACATCAGAACATGCTTTTCTTTTTTGTCAGTGCTTCTGCATAATGTACCTGTTTTGACTTGACTCTTTATAGACATATTGTTCTTGCAACACAAACTGCTATTAATAACATAGCAAAGCATTTGATTTTTTCACATGGTCCACGGAACTATTTTTGTTAGGTTGCGCTATGCATCGGCAACCTGATTGGTTACAGTCAAACTGATATGTGATTAAACCAATCGATCATAGACATAGCAATCAAGTAAAGTTTACTTTTATAAATCTGATTCTGATGCATCCAGACTTGGAGTGTTTTTATTTTGATGCAGTATAAAAGGAAAGGTAGGATTCTACATTTTATTAGTAATATCTTTGAGGGATAGCTCTGTATTTTATACTATTATAGTGAAAGCTAAAAATACAAAACAAAAATATTGGTGCATTTTAGACGTTGCAACCAAACCAAATGAAAAAGATACAATGTCACCAAAAACAAAACTCTAGTATAGACTTGGAGCACTAGAGCAAATGCGCTAGGTGTGAAAACAGCCTTAAATCCATGGGTCCATTACAGTTACATGTTCAGGACATCTTGGACAGATTCAAAAGCCCAAGGCCTTTTCACACAGTGTCCAAGTTTAAAAGACCAAAAAAAATGTTTTTTTCAAATGCACATATTAACACTAATGCTGTCTTTCACTTCAGAGCTCGTGTTTGCTCCTGTAGTTTGTTCTCTTTGCTCCTTTTAGTGCTCAGAGTGCTGAACTGAATCAAAACTCCACTCACACACACACAGCACTGCTGTAGAGCCTTGATCAACTCTCTTGATCTCCTGCAGGCAGGGATGGATTTAGTGATTATGGGGGTCCGGGCAAAAGACCAGAATGGATGCACATTTTTTCAGTATTTTAAGAACGATGGAGGCAAAAATTTTAATACAGTCGTGTGAAGAAGTAAGTACACCCCATGAAGTGTTTCTCTTTTTTTGACAAATGTGGACACAACAGTGTTTGATCTTCAATTGAACAGTATAGATAAACATTATGTAATGGAACAAAAAACAATAGACATTTTTTTTTTTTTAACCTGTTGACAAAAGTAAATACACCCCTGGCTTAAGTAAATGGTATTACCCCCTTTGGTGTCTACCAGTTTCTGACATCTACTTGGAAAAATTGTTTCCCATTCCTCCATGCAGAATTCTTTCAACTATACAGTGTTCGAGGGTTTTCTTGCATATACCCCCCAACAGCATTTCAATGGGATTCAGATCTGGGCTTGACTGGGCCATTCTGTGACCCTTCATTTCGTCTTTTTGAGCCATTCCTTGGTGGATTTACTTACGTGTTTGGCTTCATTATTTTGTTGGAGGATCCATGTCTTCAGCTTTAACTTGGTCTCACATTCTCCTCAAGGACTCCCTGTATGAAAGAAAATTCATAGTCAATTCTGTGATTGCACGTTGGCCAGGCCCTGAGGCAGCAAAGCAGTCCCAAACCATAACATTGCCACCACCATGCTTTACAGTTGGTTTTTCTGATCAAATGATCTGTCTGGTTTTTCCAATCATGACCTCTAATACTGCGGCCCAACAACTCTATCTT